TGTACGGAACAGTTGGTACGTCCCAAACCCCCCATCCAATGTGATGTTTTGGTACCTTCCTGCCCACATAGGGGTTTCACCAGGACTGGTGAGACCCCACAGAGCCCTGGTGAGACCCCACAGAGCCCTAGTTTAACGAGGGCTCTTTGGGGGTCTCAGCAGGGCTGTGAGGGGTCTCACCAGCCTGGTGAGACCCCACACAGCCCTGCTGAGACCCCCAAAGAGCCCTGGTTTATTCAGGGCTCCGTGAGGTCTCACCAGGACTCTTTGGGGGTCTCACTAGCCTGGTTAAATCCCACAGAGACCTGGTGAGGCCCCACAGGCCTGAGTGGGGCCTCATGTTTAGGTTTCGCCTAAGGCCTCGCAAACTCTAGAGCCGCCTCTGATCACAGGAGTACCAAGCAGCTGGTGCCCAAGGTTGAAGAAGGGCCTGAAGCTGGGGTAGGGGAAGCTATGTGGTGAGACCGGCGGCCGATATATCGGTGCATCCCTAATATAAACGGCTGAGCTTGCAATCGGTTTGAAATCCTACAGTCAAAGTTTTTTTGAGAGAAGTCTATGATCTATGTGTGCTGTTTTTTTTTCTTTTTCTGGGTGTTGGGGAGATGAGAGAAATTCCTGGGTGCAGGGGGGGGGCCAAGAAAATGTTTGCCCAGGGTCCGATCAGTATTAAAGACGGGCCTGATTACAGGCAGAGTCTGAAGAACTTAGTCAGGCCGGGCTACCTTACTGCAGGAACAAGATCAATCTGTCATAACTGCCAACTCCACCATTGAGTTGTGGGTGTTTCCACCCACATTTAGGTGTTGCAATACATTCTGCTACATTCTCAATTATATATGATAGGGATGCACCGATACCACTTTTTTAAGACCGAGTACGAGTACCGATACTTTTGATCAAGTACTCGCAGATACTAGTTACCGATACTTTTTCTTAAAGGGACAGGTCATATTTTTTCTAAAGCAATACAAACTAATGCTTTAAGGTCACTTTCTTAATATTAGGATTCATGAGATGACGCCGGCTTCCCGGCCAATCAGAATGCCGGGCGCTGCGTCATTACACGGCGCCCGGCTTCCGGATTTGCTAGCTTCCTGACCAATCGGGAAGCCGGGCAGCACGTCATTGCACGCAACCCGGCTTCCTGATTGGCCGGGATCTCGGCTCCATGCTCTCTCATCACAAGTGACGAGAGAGCATGGAGCGGTTTCCTGGCCAATCAGGAAACCGGGCAGCGTGTAATGATGCGCTGCGCGGCTTCCTGATACAGGAAGAACTCGTGCTAGGTATCGGAGCATTTGGGCGAGTACGAGTACTCACCCAAATACTCGGTATCGGCACCCATACCGATACTAGTATCGGTGCATCCCTAATATATGGTAAATTAAAAATCCAACAGGAAAAGTAGAATCCCTCATGATGGACACAGAAGTAGTAGAAGGAGTAAAGACCACAGAACTCAAGCACAGAGATCTTACCAATAGAGTTCCCAAGAGAAATAAGCAATTGTCAGGCAGATAACTCTCTGGCATCTGTTTAAGGTGAAATTAACCTTTGAAGAAGAACTTAAGATTTTTTTTATTAACCCTTGCAACGGGGCTATCCCCGTACTGCAAGGGTTAACTGCTCGTTTGTGTCTAGGTCAAAATAAAACAAAGAAATACTAATCCAAAGCTTGGTGCCGGCTTCTTCTCAGACCGATCCCTGGAATGTCTCTCCCCCTGCAGCAGTCTAAGGTCCAGTAAATTATCAAGTCTATACACTGTGCATACTGTACACATGAGGACACTGGGGAACATTCCAATGTGCTGGGGAGGAGGGGACAGGCTGGAGGGAGCGCCATGACAGCTGGCTAGCTCGGAGCTTCGAGTGAGTGTAGCTTTATTTTAGCACCTAGACACAAACGAACAGTTAACCCTTGCAGTGCAGGAGTAGCCCCACTGCAAGGGTTAATAAAAAAATTATCGGAATTCTTCTTTAAAGTGTATGATAACCCTAACAATAAACAACTATAATTTGCTACCCTTTGGTATATTGAATCAATATAAGCGTTAATCATACAAGCGTTTTTTCATATCTATTTGATAAGTGCAAAAAAGTACCCATTGTTCTTATTAGAAATTCAGAGTTGTCTTGTATCTTGTATACAATTCCTGTGTAACAGCAAAGAGTAATTAGACTTCCCCATTTTTTATCTTGATATTGCAGAATAGGGGGATGCTTTAAGCAGTTTACCAAAAGACATCTGGGCAGCGCTGACACCACTCAGTCTGCAAAAAAGCTCTGTGTTGTCAGCACTCATGGGGAAATGTAGCTGTGTGAAGTTGTCACCTCATGTTTGTAAAAGCTGAATACAAATATACCATTCGTTTCCTGCTGATTTGTGCCGCAAAAAATGAACATTTGTGCCGCTTTGGGTTCAGAGATATTGCGCATTATAGTTGCTGAAACCACTTTGCACCCCATATTATTACATTTTAAAAAGAAATATACCATTCATTTGTGCTGCTTTTGTGCCGCAAAAATTTACGTTTGTGCTGCTTTGGTTTAAGAGATATTGCACATTATATGTTATCAAACCACATTGACTTTATACCACGTTATTAAATCTTACATACAACTAGATTCATTTGTTCCCGGTGTGTGCCAATTTGGTGGATATTGCACATGATGTTTTACTTAATATGTGTAGTTTTGCCTAATGAGATATTACAAATTTGTTTAGCCAGGTGTCCTCAGTCTGCACCTAGTAATTAACTGTAATTTAAACTACACTATTGTGCTGGATAAAGACAATTTGTGGGTGTTTTAGGGAAAGTATAGGAAACCATTAATTACCTTGGTAACTTTTGCCAAGTTGAGGTGACCCCCAACGGTAAAATTTAGGGATGCACCAATACTAGTATCTGTGCCGATACTAAGCTTTTGGGCAAGTTCTCATTCTCTGGTGGTGAGTGCGGGCTCTCTAATGGTCAGTCCGTGCTCTCTGGTGGTGAGTACAGGCTCCCTGGTTGTCAGTGTGGCTCTCTGGTGGTCAATGTGGTCTCTCTTGTAGTCAGAGCAGCCAGTGCGGGCTCCCTGGTGGTCAGTGCGACTCTCTGATGGCCAGTGGGGGCTCTCTGGTGGTGAGTGCGGGTTTTCTGGCGGCCAGTGCGGGCTCTTTGGTGGTCAGTGCAGGCTCTCTAGTGGCCAGTGCAGCCTCTCTGGTGGTCAGTGTGACTCTCTGGTGGTCAGTACGGGCTCTCTGGTGGTCAGTGGGGGCTCTCTGGTGGTCAGTGGGGGCTCTCTGGTGGTCAGTGCGGCTCTCTGGTGGTCAATGAGGCTCTCTGTTGGTGAGTGCGGGCTCTCTGGTGCTCAGTGCGGCCAGTGTGGGCTCTTTGGTGGTCAGTGTAGGCTCTCTGGTGGCCAGTACGGGCTCTTTGGTGGTCAGCGGACTCTCTCTGGAGGCTCTGGCTGCAGCAGATGCGGCTCTCTACTGAGGTGGCCTTCTATTATGCCCAAATAGAGGGCCAGCACTGCCTGATTGCAGCTGGCCCGGTTTGCCGAAGGGCATACCCAGGTGATCTGGGCCAGCCGGGCCTATTTGCAGGAGCGTGCCCTTATGTTAATACTGCCCTGGCTGCAGTGACATCTGGCGCTGCTGCTGGAGAACTGACACTGCTGCGGCAGGGGGAGGCTGAGGAGCCTCTCACCTAGCACAGCAGAAGCTACAAGGCGAACCACTCAACAAAGGGTTGTGACCCACTTTTAGGTCGCGACCCACAGGTTGAGAACCACTGACATGCATCCCTTAAATTACTTTAAGACAGCTGTCTAATTCAGTAGTTCAATAATTGAATGAGACAGCAAAATCTCTGTTGGATTTAGCCAAATGTGGAAATTACACAAGGGGGGAATCTCCTGATGGGTCTTGCATATCTGGGGATGCACACAAACGAATGGTATATTTTTATTTAGGTTTTACAAACATGGGGTGCCAACTTCACACAGCTGGGAAATGTGCATGTATCTCAGTGATGTGTTACACCTTTTCATTTTTCTTTTTTTGCCCTGACAAACAATTTATTGTTTATTTTTATTCTCCCCCAAGATAATATAGACTTTTATCAGTAGCGCTACGGTTTTTGCCAGACAGGACATAAACAAAGACACAAGATCAAGGAGAAGACCAGCACACAGATCTCTGGCTAACAGGCAGTTACAGCTGTGCATCCTGCTAGAGTGACAAGCAGCACATTGCTTTACACACAGTGGAAACCAACACTCATGAAAGGTGGCAAATGACCTTTTAAAAAAAATCCACTTCTATTAGTTACTATATCTCTTATCTACCATGACAGGTATACAAGTTCACAATTATCATTTGACATTACAGGTGAATGGAGCTAGCTAGAGATTAAAAATCCATTAGTCGCTGTGGTGCGTGCTTGGTTGTGTCATTATATTACAGTTATGTGATATGTTTGTGTGAGAAAAATATCAATTCATTGTGCAGATATACAGATAAGAGTATACAAAAAAATATAGGCAAACAAATCAACCACAGAATGTAGGAGACTTGCACTATATAAGGATGATGACTAGTATGACTTCAATAGAAATTAATTATTGGAAGAAAGAAGTATGTGTTGCCCATAGCAACAAATCAAAGCTGAAACATTACTAGTCAGTGAGCCAAGTTCATTGCCATAGGCAGCAAAGCCACTTTTCTTTTAGGTTTTTCAGATGCAATTTATCAGCTGCTAGTGTAGTAACTTTATATATTCTCTTATCAAACTTACTGGACTGAGAAGATCATACCAAATAGATTAAAGGGTATGAGTTTGATATAATTAGGTCCAAACATGTGAATATTGAATGAAAACTGAACACACAATTTGTGGCAAAACGTAACAATGACACACAAGCAGACTGTGGCATATAGGCTACAGGAAAATGGTACTGCAGGTGTGCAAGTTCATAATCATCGTCAACTATTGTATGCAATGGACACTTACAAGTGTTGGGCTTAAGGATGCTGCTGGCAAGGGTTTGTCCTGATGGGCCAGACATGGAGAAGACAGAGATGCAATCATCATCCTGTGAGCAACCAGCTTGGATGGCACGGAGGTAGCTGTGACTGCGCATTCGAAAACAGCCAGGGAGATCCAAGGCTTCTACGGCATGAGATTCCACTTCACTGAACACGGATTCACATGCAGCTCCTGATTGGTGGTTTATCTCACCCTTAATCTGGAGAGTAAAAAAGACTGTAATCACCACAAACTATCATCTTTCACTACATCTTTTAATTGCCACAAGACATAAAGCTTCCTACAAATGCATTATTTTTATGTTATTATATAACAATTGTGGAACTATCGACGATATCAAATGAAAGAATAGATATCTTTACAGCATCTGTATATAGCTTTAGCAAGACCATCTCACTTCTTTAGAAATAGAGGGTTAATTTCGAAGACCTGTAATCAGATCTGTTGAAAATCTTTTTGTGATCTTGATTTCAGTTATTGCTTCAAGCTCTAGAGATAATACATTGTTTCATAATTACAAAAACAAGGGTTCAGCAAGTGTGCTTTTATGAGTATGATATAGTATAGGTTGCAACAGGTACTAATGTAATCATATTTGTGACTTCCAACAATACTGAAATATGTAACATAGATGAGTGGAAAAAAGAAACGTATACAAGGAACAATACTGTAATCAAAATACAATATAAGCGTGGCAAGAAAAGGGGTAATAGCCCAAAGGAAATACATGGATGATAACTATTTGTCCTTTCACTAAATCTCTGACTTGTTTATACTATCTACCACCACCAAAGATCACAATATGTATGCACCACATAAACAAAAACGTGTAGATAATTACTGTGTTTGATCAGTAATGTTATCAATACTGTCATGGTCATCTAAATACCATCAATTTCTGCCTCCTGAAACTGGGCTGGGCTTCAAGTTCCACTTTATGTAAAATAAAACAAAGTAACCACCCACCCCCAAACACTCCCACAAAGGTGCCTTCTTATCTCCTCCTCTGTCGAAGATGTAAACAACGTGGTAAGCAATATACTTAAAGGTATATTTGTTCTTTAAGAAATGTTGATTGATAACAACAACATTTAGTTGTTGGCTGTATATAAACATGCATATATCTGGAAAATGGCAGTCAAAAACCTTAATGCACCTGTAGGCCAGTGTTCAGAACAACTGTTGAAAGGATGCAGCACAAAGACAGTGCACAGAACAATGGTGCTTGTTTGGAAAGAACACCATCAATGAGGTGTACACAGGGCAGCATAAAATCATATGTGTGGCCTTAGCATTAAGACATATGGCTTTTTTTTAAAAGCTGGACACATTAGATGACAGTAATAAACATGTGGTCTGGAGATGTTCGAATATGAGAGCTGTTTTCTAGTTTCTGACCACTGGGCTTATAATCGTATCTGGAAAAAATATTTAGAGAGGGCTTCTTTCCCTGTACAAAGACAGGGCAAGAGGCAAGTTAGTCTAAGTCCTTTTTGGGAATGCAGATAGGAAGTGGAACTAAAAAGTAATATTGTAAGTTTTAGGACAGTGATGTAGTAATAAAAAAAAGACTTGCCAAATGTCTAAAAATCAAGCTGATTTATGTAGTTATAAGGCAGCTAAATGCCCAGTATATTTCTTAAACTTCATGGGCAATGAAGGAGCTCCAAAAACTAGCATGTGCAAATTTGCAGCTTCCACTCATGAAGATGGAGATCTGCCACCCCCATCCCTCAGTAGCCTACAGCAAGGTGTGCATTGTGGACAGCCAGAGCTCTATCTTCAGATGTAGAAGTCAGTGCTTAAATAATGACATTCAAAGGCTTCAAGGAAAATGAAGATGTAGACAGAAACCTGCATGTGTCTGTTTTTTATCCTATTGCTAATTGAATACTTTAAACATAAGGCTGTTTATTGCTTTATATACAGTAAATGCTTTCCATATAAGTAGGAAAATAGCTAAAACGCAAAGAAAATCATCAAGTTTAAAGTACTGTAAATTATTGGCAAAGTGTTCAGTGAACATATGGTAGAAAGATAGAATGGTGAAATCTATCTACAAATAGATGTTTTGTTCGGTTATTTTTGCCACTATCAAACTATATCACAGATCAACTGAGAAATGGCACTGGGTCAACTTTTAAAGCTGATATAGCTCATTAAAATGTGTTAAGTATTAATGCCACACGACAGTTTACGGAATCCTCATGCTTCATACAGACATAGACATATGTGGACTTATTTAAAATTAGTACCTATCTGTGTAGGCACTCATATCTCACTGTATTTCATAATAAAACAGGTCTGAACAAGATAAAAAAAAATGATCTGTCTACATGATGCAACAGAAGCTTTCTGTGTTTTGCAAAATCTTGGGTACCACGCACCTGGTCACCAAAATAAAATTTTATTGACTATGTGTAACGGCCGCCGCCGTCACCTGCGGGCAAGGAGGGAGGAAGTGGCGGCCAGCCGCTCCTTCGCTGGGTCGATTGTGTTCCAGGGTGGTGACACCTCCACTAAATCGCAAGTACTCTCAGTGCTTTTGCACTCATTCTCAGTTGGACTGTTACAAAGTTATCTGCATTGGCTTAAGTTACATTGGGGCTTTTGTACTTCCACCAGTTTGGGGATATATCATTGGACTCCTGCATTTATACTCTTCATTATCATTTGCCACTACTTCGCCATTTACTTGCATAGTTAACCCCATCCATTAAGGCATATAATTTAAACTGAGGCTGTGATGCGAGGAACTCTAACTCTCTGTTAAAACTGAGAGAGTGAAACCAGAGTTCCAACCCAGAGAAGCCTCCGCAGCTGAGATCCACGATACCTCAGTCCGTACAGGCGTGACATAATATTGGAACCCCCAAAAATGATGTTACCCTAAAACAACCCCCAGACTGGAAGATACACCCCTCTTTCCACGTGTTGCTTCTCAAACCCTTCAAGCCTAGCCCGTTCCCCAACAGGGGACCACTTCCGGCTCCTCCGGTTGAGGTCCAGGGGGACATTGAGTATGAGGTGGAAAGGATCCTCGACTCCAGGAAACGGGGTTCTAGCCTCCAATACTTGATACGCTGGAGGGGCTACGGACCTCTGTATGACTCCTGGGAGGACTCCTCGGATGTACATGCTCCTCGTTTGGTTAGAACTTTTCACCGTAGGTTCCCTGACAGGCCATTCCCTGCCAGGAGCCCCAGAGGTGCTCCCTTGAGGGGGGGGTTCTGTAACGGCCGCCGCCGTCGCCTGCGAGCAAGGAGGGAGGTAGTGGCGGCCAGCAGCTCTTTTGCTGGGTCGATTGCGTTCCAGGGTGGAGCGCACGCTCCGCATTTCCGGGTTTCGGGACAGCGTGCGTTCCACCGTGGAACGCGGAAGTGCGCCGAGACGTCCCTCGGCTCCTCCTGTCCATCAGTGGCCTATTTAAACGCCCAGTCGAGACAGCATGGCGTTCCAATATTGAGCCAGAAACGCCTGCTGTCTCCTGGGACCCTCCACAAGCCTCCAGATTGTGCCCTCCAGCATACCCCAGATCCGGATACCACCCAGGAGCCTCTACTGCTTCCATTGTGACACCTCCACTAAATCGCAAGTACTCTCAGTGCTTTTGCACTCATTCTCAGTTGGACTGTTACAAAGTTACCTGCATTGGCTTAAGTTACATTGGGGCTTTTGTACTTCCACCAGTTTGGGGATATATCATTGGACTCCTGCATTTATACTCTTCATTATCATTTGCCACTACTTCGCCATTTACTTGCATAGTTAACCCCATCCATTAAGCCATATAATTTAAACTGAGGCTGTGATGCGAGGAACTCTAACTCTCTGTTAAAACTGAGAGAGTGAAACCAGAGTTCCAACCCTGAGAAGCCTCCGCAGCTGAGATCCATCCGTACAGGCGTGACACTATGTTAATGCACACTCTAGGAAAAAGCTTTGTTGCAGGGTGAAATATGTTAGAGAAAGAAGCCGGAGCACTGTCCCTTGAATTAATTGAGTGGCAAAGACACTCTTTAGGAGAGTATATGCACCACCATATGACAAATGTCTATGAATGCAACAAATTCATGTACATGTCAGAAACATGTATGTGAATTTGTTGAAGAACCTGCGCCGTGCACATGTCTCAAGGACGCTGTGTCTTTGGGCCGCCGATGTCCTCTGACAGGTTGCTAGAATATCAGCAGCCTTGGGGCTGCCAGTGTCTTAGCAACCAACGATGCGGGGTTGTCCCCTCCCTGATGAACTGGTTTTAGGGGTCCCTCAGGCTCAAAACCTGTCAACTGGTGCATGTGGGTAAAAGACAAATGTAAATAAACACTCCCCACAAAAAAATACTTTTTTAAACTAATATTTACCTTTCCAGGTTCCAGCAAAGTTCAAATATGTACCTTACCATTTGCTCCAGAGATGGCCGGTCAGAGTTTGGGGGAGCGAGGTTCTCCCGTTCTTTGCAGCTCAAATAGTGTTTGAGCACTGGGAAAGATCTCGCCACTGGGGCAGTTTCAAGTAACCCTAACCTTAACCCTAAGTTTAAATATAGGCAGTGATTTAATGGGGGGTTCCCTGTGATGTATTGCCCATATAGGCAATGGCATCATAGGGAACCCCATCCATCAGAGTTCCCTATACACATAAAATCATGCCTAGTGCTGGAAATCTGGCAGTTTGGCCACACTGGGTTTTTTTTTCAATTACTTTTTTTGCACTAAAAAATATTTTAAAAAATAACCAGGGAAGTGCTGAACCTGTTTTAAAACCACTCTCCATAAGCTAAAAATTGACAGTTCCAAAGAAGAGAAGCACTTAAAAATGCAAGTTACCCACTTAAAAACAGGGAATGTTGGGCCAGTTTCAAAACTAATCTACATTCACTGATCAATAAAAAAGAATAAATAGCACAGTAAAGCACTTTTCCACTGCTAAACAGCTGCTGGGTGAATACTGCTGTTAGGAGAATAGAAAAAAAAATATTTTTTTCTATTCTCCTAATTGTAAAGGAAACCTGTAAGGAGAGAATATGGAGGCTGACATTGCATTGCAATATATTAGTTGGCTGGGTATCTCTGCCTTCAATATTTTCTAACAGGCTATTCACAAAAGGGTGAAGAGTTTGGAGAAGGCAGGAGACGTGAACAATCTAGGACAACATAGTTGATTTGGAAAAATTTAATTTAACCCATAATCATTTTT